ACGATCCAGATACCATCATGATCTTGCTCTTATTTGAGAATTTTAGCTGTGACATATTTGTACTAGTAAGGAATGAATAACATGATACAAGAAAAAGGCAATTTATACAGCTGGAGGATATACATGCATATTTTTAATCACAGAGGATCGTAAGGGGTCTTTGGAACATCAGTAGAGGAAGACGTCTCTGCCCCGTGGAACTTTTCCTCTTTCTGCAGATCCTGCCTTTGTGCCCAGACTGTCCTGTTTCAAGAGATCTCTTGCAGTTTTCCTTGATCTCTCAGGCCTCTTGGGGTTTTTTTATTTTGCATTTCCTCCTTTTGGAATGTGACTCCACTCCTTGTCTTTCTGTCAAACTTCTACTTACCCTCAAGCTCAAGGGTTACCTGCTCTGTGAATTATTTGCTTACTATCATCTGCAGACATAGGGGGTCCTATCTCTGTCTACTGCAATCTTTAAAATGTTTATTCGAGAGGGAAGAGGGAGAAGGAAGGAGGGAAGAGGGAAGAGAGAGAAAGGAGGAGTGGCGGGAGAGGGAAGGAAGGGCAGAGGGGAGGAGCCGGGGAGAGGGGAGGAAGGATGGGTGTGTTCCTTACAGTGAGGGTGTATGGCACACCTCTTGGGTGTGGGACTCTACAACTACAACAGGGACTCTTCCTAACTAATGCAAACACTGTCACCTAGTTGTTTATACCTTCACGTTAATCTGAAAGAGAAAAGCATGGTGGAATCAGATGCTAGTGGAATGAAAAAACCCCCAAATCTTTATTAGAGCAACCATTTCAATGTCCTCTAATCTTAACCTTAAAAATAAAATACAAGCAGTCCCCAGAGTTGTGAACAAGATAGGTTCTGTGGGTTTGTTCTTAAGTTGAATTTGTATGTAGCTTGGACCAGGTGTGTTTACCTCCTACCTGTCTTCCGTCCCCAAGTGCGAGCTTTCTGTCAGCCAGATGTTTGTAAGCTGGGGACTGACTGTAATGGCTGCCATTCATAAGTTTAAGTTGTGTATAAGTCACATGTTGGTATCTGGGACACTGCTGTAAGGTATATCCTTTCCACTCTTGCGTTCCCAGGCAGCATGGACTGTGATACAAATGCTAAAATCATGTAATAACGAGCATATTAATTTCACTGAAAAGTATCAGGTGGGAATGGTTTCTAAAATGTTAGTTTAAATTTTAATGTAATTTGTTAATTTCTTATTTAATAGTCATTATTTTGTTTTTTATATTGAAATAATTACCAAATTACAAGAATGTTGCAAGCATTGTAAAAAGACCTTTCCCTGCTTCTGATTCATCTGAGAGTCAGGTGCCCATCCAGGGACTAAGATGATGCTCCATTATCCAGGAGTAATTTGACATGTTTTTCCCACATTCTTTGATCCTTCTCTTGCTTTTAGGTACAAGATATTCCAGGTTCACCTTGTTCCTGTTCTTTGCCTGCCCATTCCTAGAATCAGCTCCCTTACTAAGAAGCCCCGGTACTATTCAGTGGAAGATAGTATTTAGAAGCAGAGCTCAGTGCCCCAGTCATGCTCCTTGCTATTAGGGTGTAGCTGCTCTCCGGCCTCTCAGTGGACAGAGCTATGAATCATTTATACCTATATTTATATCTATCTGGTTCTGTGCTGAAACCTTGAGTTGACATTGATCTCTCCAATTTCCACCAAGGACCATAAGGTTCATTCTAGTTTTCTCTTTCTTCATATTTGCAACTCTTATCTGACAATGAGAAAAGTGGCTACTTACCCCTTTAATAGCAAACCCCCTTTTGTATAATGAATCCGTTTCTGCTGCCATCTCCTTCTGCACTCATCGCTTCTTTATCTCCTTTCGGTCCGACATCCCCTGCCGGACTTCCTTGCCCACTGCATAGACTGATACTTCATGCTACTGCTCTTTAGGGCACTTCCCTTCTGACATTCTGTCAGGGCCACCATCCAGCATGGATGCCTTTACCACCATGGAGGCTCTCACTTTCCGTCCTGGTGTGCGTGCTTGCTCTCTCACTCTGTCTCTCTCTCTTCCTTGGGCTACCCATGGATGCCCCATTCTTCTCTTGGGCTCTGACACCCCACACCATGCCAGTGTTTTGCATGGATACCTTCCCCTTCCAGTGTACAACCCGTGCCGGGAAGGATGCTCCTCTGCTCATACTTGGGCTCTGCTATTCTGTGCAGGGATGCTGTGTGCACACACTCTCACCCTGGGAATGCGTCCTGTGATTCTCCATGTCCTTTCTCCAACCTGGATATGACCCCACTTGGGTCCTTGCTCCCTGTGCTGCAGTTCCCTTTTCCCCTTATTCAAGCGCCAACATCCCTCTTTAAGCCACTGTGGCTCCCTTCCATACAGAAAGTATTGTGCTGTACTCCATACTACAGGGTGTCCCGTAAGTCACCAGTAAAGTCGCTACACATAGGGAAAATGGGAAATTGTAGCTAAATGTACCTTTATTGATAAAATATTCATTACAAACTTTGACAAGATATTTACAAATTATTCTCTGTGTGTTGGCCATCTCTGTGAAAATTTGTAATAAATACTTTAGAAATAAAGGTACATTTAGTTACTATTTCCTATTTCCCCTACGCTTGGTGACTTCAGGGGCAACTTTTGGGACACTTTGTAGAAAGCAAGGAAGAGAAGGGAAGGCGAAGGAGCAAATAGGATATGCTGTCTTTTAGAGGTTCTCATCAGCGCTTCCACAGGGAAACGCACGCAAAAACTTAGAAGAATTGAATTTGCTCCTTATTTGTAATAGTAACAAAAGATTTGGATTGAAGAAAATTTGAAGCTCTTAGAAAAAGCAAGATTTGAAGTTAACTGTCCTTTCCACTGGGGAATTGAAAACTTATTTCTCTTCCAGGATTTAACGGTTTGTTCTGGCAGATGCTTTCTAAATTAGACAATTAGAAATAAGAAGGCTGGAACGGATACTTCTATGCCAATCACCTGGTTTCCTAGATGAGGAAATTGGTCTTGGTCAGGTCAAATGACTTTCCCAGGTTTCCTAGGTGGCTGAGTCAGAAATGGAAAGGACATTTTCATCACTCTGGCCAGTGCTCTTGGCATGCTACCCTCATCATTATAATGTAAAACTATTTTGCCTTTAAAGCAAATTTCTAAGAAAAGTATATTTTATACATTATACTTAGTATTTTAAATTGGATACCTTTTTCTTCAGTAAGGCTAGATGACATAGAAAACCGTATTGGAGCCCTAAAACATTGTCCAAATACATTGACTATTCTTTATTTAAAATGCTGAGGACCAGAAGGATTTTGAATTTCCTGTTTTCTCAGATTATATTTATATCATATATGCTATAATATATATGTTACAATATGTTTTATATATACAGAAGGTGTCTATAAAGTTTGTGTGTAATTTAAAATAGACAACTATTTTAAATAAATAATTTATAATAACTATATTATTATAAATAAATAATATATTTATACGAGAGAGAGAGAGATCTTGGATATGAGACCTAAGCTTAAACACAAAATTCACTTATGTTTTTATATACACTTTATACACCTAGGCTGGGGATAATTTTATGTAACATTTTTAATAATTTTGAGCACTTGCAAAATGAGGACACATAAGGAATTTTTCACTTGTGGCATCATTTGGACACTCAAAAAGTTTTGAATTTTGGATTTTCAGATTTTTTGATTTTTGGATGAGGGATACTCTATTTATAGCACTCTGGTGATTGTAGTTTATTAGAATAGAAAAGCTGTCACCAGACGCAATCTTTGCCCCCACTGGTAATTAGTTAACTTGAATTTTTCCAAATGCTTCCTCATAATTGCATGCTTACATTATGTTAAGTGTACTTGGGAAATTTGGCAAGCAGGTTAATTATTTATTTTACTGTTTATTGTCTTAAGGGGCTGATGGGCTGGCAAAATGTGCGTACATAAACACAAAAAACAAATAATATTTGAAAAAAACCTGCAACACAAAACTTGAATTATTTAAAAATCCAATCCCTTATTAACAAATTCATTTTCAGACAAGCTGTAAACAAACAACTTGCTGGGTTTTTAAAGTGTTCATTAATTCCCAAACACCATCTCGAGTGGTGGAGGTCAAAGGAAAAACAGGCAACAAATTATATTTTAAAATCTAATGAAAAGCTTGAAGAGTCCCACGAACTAAATGATTTAAGAGCACAATTGTGACATCAACATACTTCTGGCCCTTATGTGAAATACTTGCCCTTTTAGCAACACGGCGATTCTGTAAATTATTAATATTATGTACAAATATACAGATTTTGTAATCGGATGGCACACATAACTAAGCTCACGTAGTTTGTCGCCCTTCAAGGCGGAAATCCTAGCACATATTTATAGGGAGTCACCTGGGATCTGTTGATTTGAATCACCGTAAATCCCAGAGAAATCATTATCTCCCAAAGAACCTTTCCTCATAATTCTGCAGAAAACTCTTCCTCTTGGTAACTTTGTCGTGTGACTGCTGCGCTCTGTTCTCTGGAATCAGAGTATAGTCAAATTCTGTTCCGTGTGATAGCCCTTCGGTTACATCCTAGGGGACCCTTACCCACTGAGATCCTTATCCTCCTGGAATTTTTGCTTAGTCTTTCTTCCACAGTTAAGTCACTAAATTTGGGGAGATCAAGTTTCTTTTCCCTCCCCCATGTCCTTGCCCGGGTCTAGACTTAGTGTGCTGTTTTAGGATACTGGGCACGCTACGGGTGAAAGGCAAGAATAATGCCTTGAGTTCTTTTTCATGTCCCATGTAACAGTGAAGCCTGGTTTCATTTTTTTTGCCTGGATAATTTTATCCACCAGGCGCAACCTTTGCCCCAAACACCCTATTCACTTTACACAAACCTGTTGACCTCACGCCTAAGTCAGCTTTTCTTGAACCCTAATCTGAACAAATAAACATTCGTCTGATCAGCGGATGTCCCGTCAGGAAGGGCCGGCTTGGGCAGTGCTGGCTCAGCTAGCCCGCCACGCCGCCGCTCGGGTTTTGATTTCCTCTTTCTTCTCTGATTTTAAGAAGTGAGACAGAAAAAGCAATTCCTGTTAACCACTTAGACAATGCAGGGGACTTCAGATTCCATTCAAGGAAGCTGGCTTCATCAAGGTAACAAAATGGACCACTGACACCAGAAGGGGCCTAGGCAGCAAGACATGGAGGAGGTGGCATCAGGTAAACCCCAGGGGTGAGGGTAGGGAGCAGGCAGGGCTGAGCTGGGAACCGGCACGTTGCCCAAGAGGGAAGGCCAGAGAGCGACTCTGCGCCCCGGCGTGGACGAGTGCGGGAGTTCAGGCTGGGAAGTGGGTCGCCACGTGCTACAGAGGCGGGGACAGGGCCCTCCTCCCTTCCTCTGTAAAGGACGCTGGGCAGGATCGTGGAGTTTCACAGCGGACCTGTCAGAGATAAAGAGACGGGAGGTCCGGAGCACGCTAGAGAAAGAGCGAGCAGGAGTCAGAGACCGAGTCTTACGTACACACACACAGAAAGCCGCAGAGACAAACTGTTAGGTGAGAGGCGAGCGAGCCCTTCGTGATCCTTCCTACTACTTTGCCTGTCCCAGAGACGAGATCGGGAAGGGCGGGTCAGGTTTAGACGCTCAGACCTCAGGACTCCAGAGGAGCCGTTTTATGTCTGCAGCTCTTGGGGACTGAGCGCAGGTCTCACCCTAAGATTGCGGCGGAGAGAGTCGCGCGGAAAGACAGGAAGAGGAGATGGGGTTCTACAGTTCCGTGGTTTTAGCTATTCCCAAGGAGTGGCGTGGTATGGGGCATCACATCCGATAGGAGCGTGTGTCACTACACTGTACACAAATCCTGAGGCGTTCGCAAACCCGGCTCCGGGGCAGCTGGCCCCACGCCCGGCCGGGCATTCTAGGGCACCTGCCACGCTGTGTCCCGGGGGTGGCCGGCTGGTAGGCCAGTGGCCTTTATCTCTGTCCCTCTTTGTTCCCTTTATCTCAGGCTCTCTAGGAGGCCCGGGGGACCCACTCTGCCTATCGCTACCCGCGGCTGTGCGGCCACTTCAATGACCCGCAGGTCGCCGGCTGCTGCTCTTCCGAAGGCGGCGGAGAACTAGGGGCGCCGCAGCTGACTCCGACCCGCGCCGCCGCCCGACCTGCGCGCCCTTGGGCACCGACGTCCCCCTGCGCGCCAGCCCGCCGCGGGTCCTCGAGGGGAAGCCCCAGCCAGGATGGCCCCGGGCCGGGCAGTGGCCGGGCTCTTGCTGCTGGCGGCCGCCGGCCTTGGAGGAGTGGCAGAGGAGCCCGGGCTCGCCTTCAGCGAGGATGTGCTGAGCGTGTTCGGCGCGAATCGGAGCCTGTCGGCGGCGCAGCTTGGCCGCCTGCTGGAGCAGCTGGGAGCCGCCCCCAGCCGGGGCGCCGCGGAGCCGGGCCAGCTGCACTTCAACCAGGTACGGCGGCCGGCCCGCGCGCCCCGTGTCCTCGGGGTCCGTAGATTTCCACTGGGATATGCATTTTTATTTGGGAAAAGTTCAGGGGAAAGAATTTCTTTATATTTTAAAAACGGGGCGCAGTCACTGGTGGCACTTGATTTTCGCTAGACCGACTAAAGGGCTAACGGGCTGGTTTTGTTAAGGGATTTGGCAGCTAGAAATTTCAGTTTTGTGCCTGATGACCTGAAAGGTCGGACGCTTGTGGTTCTAGGATTTTGCGGAAAGGTTTATATAGCACTTCTGTGATTCCAGCACTTTGAGAGACCCAGTCAGGAAGGATTACTCAGGGCTAGGAATTTGAGACCACCCTGGGCAGCATAGCGAGATCTCATCTCCACAAAAATTTTAAAAAATTAGTTAGGCTTCATGGCATGTACCTATAGTCTTAGGCGCTTGGGAGTCTGAGCCAGGAGGATGGCTTGAGCCTGGGAGGTGGAGGCTGCAGTGAGCTGTGATAGCACCATTGCTTTCTAGCCTGGGTGACAGAGCGATAGCCTTTCCCTTAAAAAAAAGACAGACAAACAGAAAGAAAGACAGAAAGAAAAGTTTATGAAGTAGTTAAGGGTGGAAGCCACCCGAAGAGATGGTTTTTACATAGAAATGACATATTTAAATCTTCCCTAAAAGATAACTGCTTACCCATTTCCTACAAAGCTAGCAAGGTAGAAATCTACCTTGGTAACTGGTGGGGAAACCGGGGAGGCCTCGAGACCAGGATCACAATTTGGTGATCAGTTGGTGGCAGACAGAGTTTAGAGTGCTAGGTCTTCATCATGGATCAGGCTGTGTGTCTGATTTTAATATTCATTCAAAATAAAAAAGTGCATTTTTCCCCAATACATACACACGGTGTTGTCTAGGCATTTGGTAATACCTTGAGTTTATGGACAACTTGAACTCTCTAGAAGCAATTAAAGGTCACACCAACATAAAAGTAAAATATTTCTAATAATTTCTGTAATAAATATTCAGTGTTTGGGTAGTTTTTAAAATTGTGAAGTAGTCAAAGCGTGGTTTCTTCATCCTTCCCAAACCACTCTCTCCTTTAAAAAATTGAGTTAACTCAGCGGTTTTGATTTTTTCCTTCTATTCCTGCTGCACGATGATTGACACCTGGGGTTGGACAGCAGCATGCAGCCTTTTCCAGACTGTTTGCCATTTTTGGATGATGTTCATTTGTTACAAAAAGTTTTTGTGGTCCAAGGTGTTTGGGGAATGCTCCATTCCTGGAAATTTAGCATTTCCTAATGAATGTGGCCTGAGATAACAGGTGCACTTTCGTAAGATAAATTCCTTGTTAATGACATTATAGGCAGGTTGGTATTCTTTTGGTTAGAACTGTCTTGCCTCAACCAAAATACACGTACTGAAGAAGAAGTTGAACTTTCTGATGCTGTGGGGTATCAGAGGTGGTCTCTCTTTGATCTAGAAGGCTTTTGTGGTCTCCCTTTTTTTTTAGTAAACTGTCTATAGTTCCAATTCTGGCCATGGTATTATATTTGGGTTAATGTCTGAGAAATATGTTGGGAAAACTGAAATGCCCAGATGATATTTTAGGAAATAAAACAAATAACTTCCTAAGTATTTCCTGGCTAGTTGCCGTCTCTTCAAATAGGGGAAACAGCTGAGCTGACTGCAATACTTCCAGGTAGGTATGGTCTTGTGCTTGCAAAGAGGCTTAGGGACTGGAGTTGAAGCTGCCTATCTGTGGCCCACACACTGTTTTGACTTAAATGATCTCCTTATCTTTCAGTGTCTGGAGGTGCTGATGAATTTTAAAGGGGCAAAAGACCCCCTATGTCACAAAGACTCTAGAAAATACGCCTAACTTATTTAGAGAAATTGGTTAAGCTTACTAGCAAAGTGCTTCTCAGATGCCTTGATAGGTAAATTATGTGTTTCCTGACATCTTGTTTCTCAGTCTCACGTTTGCATTTTTAACCATCCTCATTATGGCCTCTGAGACAGGAAGCAGCCCATAATTAGCTTGGAGACAAAAGGAAGCCAAGGAAAATTTACCGCTTAATCAGGGTTAGCAAACATCTCTTTGATGTTCTAAAAAGTCATAATGAAAAGCAACAATTGTTGGTTGAATGATGACAAATGAAATGCCAATCCATAAGAATCCATTACTTTGCTGGCAGTTCATGGATGTAAGCCAAGGCATTCATATAGGCTCCGGGATGAAGTCATCTAATTTGAAGTAAAATATAGGGCCCTTAATGTCTATATACCTTCAAGAATGCAATGGTCAATTAACTTCTGTAATGGAGTAGAATAAATTGTCTATTGTGTATAGGTCTATTGTGAGAAACTTGATATTCTGCCTTAAAAAAAGGCAGAGAAACTAGTTTGTTTCTATAGGCCAGGAATTAATTGAATCTTTTATAAGCTCCATCTACAAATAACATTGTTCCTTTGAATGAAGTCTGTGATATTTGTTATGTCAGCTTCTCTCAGGTAATAGATGGGTGAACTCTGGAGGCTTGCTGGACAGTTTGGGAAGGTTTTCTAATTTTTTTTTTCCAGTAAATTATATTAACTTGTTGCTCTGCAATAGATATGAAAGTAACCTGAATTCAAGGTGGAGACAGTAGAACGATTCAATTTATTGTTTTGCTTTTGATGGTTATGGAAGGCACAAAGAGTTAAATAGCAGCAGCAACCCAAAAAATGAAGGGGAGGGAACTCTTCCTGCCATGCGCATCACTGGGGTCCTTGTTTCTGGGTGTAAGTCTGGAAGCCTCAAATGTCTGCATATCCTGGGGTCATTACTCTAGGGGATTTCAGAATGGCCTCAGAGCTGCTTTTGGTTTGTTCAGATGTTCATTTTCCTTCATTTCTTCTTCTCAAACACCTTACGTCCACATTTTTATGGGAAGACACTGGTTAAACAGCCTGATGAAAGGGAAAATCCAATTCCGCAAATGATCACACAAAGCTGCTGGAACTGTCTCTGTCTAGCGGCTCAGTCTCCCAAGTTCTGAGGTGTCTGTCGGGGTGCTGGGCTGTGGGAGGGGAGGTGGCAGGTTGGAGCTGGGCATGACCCTTGTTTCACGGGTCAGCCTGGCGCTTTTTCTCTCCTGCCTACATCTCGGTGTGTTTTGCAGCCCATGGCTTGCATCATGTTTTTTTCCTTTCATAGTCCTACTGTCATTTACTTGTTGGAACCCTGTATTTAACCTCTTTTGCTTCGAATTTAGTCTCCCAATAGCAATACTCTTTGCTTTCAAAAAGACTCCATTAACTGTGGCTGGTAAAGTCTCAATCTCGACCTGGCATTCAAGGCCTGCTCCCTCTGTGTCAACTATTTCTCCAGCATATGGCGCCGGCGCCCTACTCCTTTGAGCCACAGGTGCCACTGAAAGGGCCAGACCAACGCCATTTTGTCGTTTACTACATAAGCTCTGTTAAAACTGCAGGGCCACTCCCTGCTGCCTCCCCCACCCCTGGTTGCACAGCCATTAAGCCGTTGAATTGAGTCACCTAAGGCAGACAGCTGCCGTAATAGGCAATAAGTATCAGTTCCCTTGAACAGCTCCCATAATAGGCAATAGGTTTCTACTTCCTTGAAATTCAGGTGTCTCCTTCAACTACCTAATTAGGCTACACCACCTCTAGCCCTGGTTAAGAAATCCCCCACCCCTCACCTGTACCAATCCAAATCCTCCTTTACTAGTGAAATCGCCAACCACAAATCAAGAGTGTACCCGTAACGGACCCTACCCTTCTTGCTTTCTGTACCCCATAAAAACTTGCTCTACCCCGAGTTCGGGGCTCGTCCTTGGCTTGCATGCCAGGAGAGTCTGGGCTTCCCGGGGCCTGAATAAAACTCATCTTGTGCTTTTTACATCGGAGTGAGTCTTGGATTCGTCTGTTTGGGCTGTTTGGGAGAATAATTTTTCAGACCTAACACCACCAGAATTCCCACTACTCTTGCTCAACCACCTCTTAGCTCATTATCTTTTTTTCTTTGAATCGCCCTATCAAAATCTACTTTTAAAAAAAGTCCTGTTAAACTTTGCTGTATATCCTTTCTGGGCCATCACTGGCAGCACTGATTCTCTGATTTCTCCATTTTTTGAATTCCTGAAATATTTTTTTATTATGCTAATATTACTTTATTTATATGTTAAACAGACAGTTGAAAGAGTACTACACTCTAATCAGAGTGGCCCTTTGAAAATACTAATCTGATCATATCTTTCATCTCATTAAAACAATTCAGTGCCTTCAAGATAAACTTCAAATGCCTACTTTTTTTTTTTTTTTTTGAGACAGTTTCACTGTGTAGCCCTTGGTAGAGGGCTATGGTGTCACAGTTCACAACAACCTCAAACTCTTGACCTTAAGGGATTCTCTTGCCTCAGCCTTCCAAGTAGCTGGGGCTACAGGTGATGCCACAGTGCCCAGCTATTTTTTGGTTGTAGTTGTCACTGCTGTCGAACCTGCCAGCTCTAGTATATGTGGCTGGTGTCCTAGCCGCTGAGCTACAGGCACTGAGCCTCAGGTATCATTTTAGACATTACTTCTTTTAAGTAGCCCTTCTTGATCTGCTCAAGAGTTTAATAGGAATCTCTTTTATGTGATCCTATATTAATTGGTACCTGTGTAATCATAACATATTTTATGCTGCAATCATATTATAATGTGTTAATAATTTTGTATGTATTATAGTTTTCTGTTTACATGACTGTGACCTCTGCCACCTTCAGTAGATTTTAAGCAAATTGAAGGGAATGACCTGTCTCATTTCTCTAGGGACTGGATAGTTCTTGGTTCTTAACATGTATTCATTAGAAACATTTTGAGTAAATGAGTGGAGATTGCTTAAGATGAGTGATATTGTAGCAGGAAACTGATGCAGACAGAAGACTCTAGGCACCAGTTGATTAGAGGAAGCGGGTTTATTCTGCCGAGGGTACTCGGAACACCAGCATGTTTCCCAAAACCGAGCC